GCTTAGAGAGCTGGAGTTGTTCAGCCTGGAGAAGAGAAGGCTCCAGGGAGACCTTAAAGCAGCTTCCAGTGCCTAAAGAGGCCAACAGGAAAGCTGGAGAGGGGCTCTTGAAAAGTGCCTGTAGGGATAAAACAAGGGGGAATGGATTTGAACTGACGGAGGAGAGATTTAGATTACATATCAGGAAAAAATTCTTTACTACAAGGTTGTTGAGACATTGGCACAGGTTGCCCAGAGAAGCTGTGACTGCCTCATCCCTGGCAGTGTTCAAGGCCAGGTTGGACAGGACTTTGAGTAACCTGGTCTAGCAGAAGGTATCCCTACCCATGACAGGGGGGCTGGAACTACATGGTCTTTAAGGTCCCTTCAAACACAAAACGTTCTATGATCTAATTTGACTTTTCACCCAAATACACAGTTTTGGGGAAAGGCAGGCATCAGGTCAGTGCTACTATTTCTGCCACTGGTAGATGAATGCAGTGTCTCCTAGTGGGATCCATCATCGGATGTGGTTTCTTATTTTTCTGTCATTTACCTCCTTGATATGGAAAGACAAAATGTTCTTACAGATGGTTCTTCTAAGTCCACAGGGACAAGTAACTGCAGTGAGGTACCAGTGGTGCTCACCAGCTGCACGTTTGTGTGTGTTGTAGGTTTCTCATGGTACGTCCTCCCTTTGTCACAGAAAGGTGTGGCTGGCAGGGATCAACGGTGGCTGGTCTGGGCCATGCCTTTGCACTGATTGAAGCTCAGTAGTGAAGGTGTTAAGGTCAGTTTGCCGTGCTTGATAACAGTAGAAGTTCAGGCATGTGTTGTGGGCCCTCAGATGAACACAGCCATGTAACTTAGCTTAGCCCAACTGAATGATTAAGATCCACTTAATTAGCTCAGGCTGCCAAAGGCTAGGAAAGGACTCATGAAAAGTTCTTATTTGATGTCTCTGGTAACTTATTAAGCTGTTGAAGTGTGCCTGTGCAGCTGAGCCCCTCTGGCTGATATTAGTCTAATCTACACAAACAAATGAACAAACAAACCCCAACATAAAACAAACTAACCCCCTGCAGAAAACAGATGATGAGGATTTTGCTGCTTCCTTGGACAGCCTGCTCAACACTCCACCAGCCCTAGCATTATTGCTGAAATACAGCCTAAATTACCTTTCCTTCTACTCAATCTTATGTCACTCTGTCATTTCCCAGAGGATGCAGAGATTAATTTGACCAGAGATTTAATTTGTCAACCTTTACGCAGCAACCTCTTGCACATGGAAGAAGTGCAGTCCCAGCTGTGGTCTCCTGTCTGCCCCCCAGGACCCAGCTGCTGTCCATAAGTGTCCACCACTGCAGTGATAACCTGTTCACCCTGTGCCCCTTGCCCTGCTTTGTTCTCGTTTGTACTGCAATGTTTCTGAGCTGCAGCACCCTGGTGCTCCCACCAGCAAAGAGACAAGGGGCTCAAGCCTGTCTGGAGACAATCATTTTAATATGAGGGTATTCTGAACCCTGGTACTTGAAGAACAAAAGCATTTTGTAGGAGGCCACCACAAAGGACAAGCAAACTAGTTGGTGGCTAATGGGAATTGTACTGTTCCTGTGCAAATGCTGCTGTTTGTTAGTGCCAGACTGGTGCTACAGGCTGTCTTACTTACCTGCCACCACTAAAAATGAGAACAGGCAAGAATCATAAGGAAAAGCCACTTTCTTAAGCAAACTCTGCGTTTCAGCTTTTAAATGATAATTTTGCAAAGCACATACTGTCTTCAGTGTGTCCTGTTAACAGGCAGTATTTTAGTGTTTTGGGGTTGTTTTTTTTTTTTGCTTCTTGTTGTTTTGTTTTGTTTGTTTTTTTTATTTGTTTTTGGTTTTTCTTTACTGAAGTACTATAGCTGAGAAAGAGGAACCGATTGTTTTCCTGTTCTCAGGATTCAGATTCCTAGGGTTTGGACTTTTTTGGCTATTTTGCTGATAGTTTATTGACAGTGCATAATAAAAAGGAAGTTTGGATGGGGCTTTGAGCAGCCTGGTATACCGGCATGTGTCCCTGTCCATGGCAGGGAGTGGATCTAGATGGTCCTTAAGGTCCCTTCCAACCCAAACCAGTCTATCATTTTAAATATTTAAAAAAAAAATTTGATTTTGGTGATACTTGGATGGCTAAGCCAATTGTATCTTCAAGTAAGGAGATAAAATTTAAATTAAGCTAGTGCTCAACTGGAGTGGTTTTAGGTCAATGTATTTTGAAGGAAATCGTTTTGAACAAAATTTGGTACTTTTTCACATATCCCTTATTCATCTTTTTTCCTGGATGTTTATCAATTCAACATGTAGAATACATGGATGAACAGATACAGGGAGAACTTGGAAAGGCAAACTCAGCTGTGTTTTTTTTGGCTTTGGTTTTGTTTGTTTTTGCTTTTTTGTTTGCTTGTTTTTTGTTTGTTTGGGTTTTTTTATTGCTGCCATTTTCAGAAGTGTGTAGTTTGGGAGGTGGTTACAGATCTCTTGCTGGTGAAATGTTAGATTGCAAAGGCAAGTAACAGCTTCATAGACTTTTCCCCAGAAAATTCAGCAGATATTTAAGTAAGTGAGCTGATATTAAAGATCATCTGTTGTTGCTGCAGCTGTGCAGTTTCACTTTGCTTGCCAGTTTCTAGCTCTGGCTGACTGTCCCTAGTCCCAGAGGGGAGTATTATGGAGGAGGCAGTGGTAGAGGGTCAAAGGCATGGCCAGAGTAAAGCCATGCTGGTACTTCATTGAAATGTCAGCTGAAACCACACAAGTTTCGGGCCCAGTTAGAATTAAACTTGGCTAGGGATGTTAAAGATAACAGGAAGGGATTTTATAGGTACATTGCAAATAAAAGACAAACTAGGGATAACATGGGCCCTCTTCAGAAGCTATCAGGAGAAGTGGCTACTCTGGATCTGGAGAAGGCTGAGGTTCTTAATGACTTCTTTGCCTCAGTCTTCACTGGCACATGCTCTGACTGTACCATCCAAGTCTTGGAAGGCAGATGCGGGGGCTGTGAGAATGAAGACCTTGGGCCCACTGTAGGAGAGGATCTGGTTCGAGACCATCTTAAGAACCTGAACATACACAAGTCCATGGGACCTGATGAAATCCATCCACGTGTCCTGAAGGAGCTGGCAAATGAAGTTGCTAAACCACTGGCCATCATATTTGAAAAATCATGGCAGGTGAAGTTCCTGATGACTGGAAAAAGGGAAATATAACCCCTATTTTCAAGAAGGGGAAAATGGATGACCCAGGGAATTACAGACCAGTCAGTCTCACCTCTGTGCCTGGCAAAATCTTGGAGCAGATTCTCCTGGAAGTCATGCTAGGGCACACTGTCATGGTTTAACCCCAGCCAGCCAGCTTTTTCACTCCCCCCCCCCCCCCCTTGCCCTCCCCCGACTCCCGGAGGGACAGAGAGGAGAATCGAAAAGAATGCAACTCCCACAGGTTGAGATAAGAAAAGTTTAGACTAAGGTATAACACAAATCACCACCGCTACCACCAATAATAATAACGATAAAGGAAATAACAAGGGAAAAGAATACAACATCTCACCACCAGCCGACCCATAACTTGCCCCCCCAGCCCGACCAAGCACCGACCATTATCTCCTCCAACCCTGCCCTCCCAGCCCTTCCAGGTAACTCCCAGTTACATCCTAGGCATGACGTGCTGTGGTATGGAATACGTCTTTGGTCAGTTTGGGTCAGGTGTCCTGTCTCTGCTTCCTCCCAGCTTCCCTCCTCCCTGGCAGAGCATGAGGCTCACAAAGTCCTTGGCCAAACCAAAACATCATTGTTATCAGCACTGCTCCCAGGCCGAAAGTCAAAACACAGCATTGCACCAGCTACCAAGAAGGAGAAAAATGACTGCTACTGCTAAACCCAGGACACACATGAAAAACAACAAGGTGCTTGGTGACAGCCAGCATGGCTTCACTAAGGGGAATTTCTGCCTGACCAATTTGGTGGCCTTCTATGATGGGGCTACGGAACTGATGGACAGGGGTAGAGCAGTTGATGTCATCTACCTGGATTTGTGTAAAGCGTTCAACACTGTACCACACGACATCCTTGTCTCTAAATTGGATTGACATCAATTTGATGGATGGACCACTTGGTGGATAAAGAACTGGCTGGATGGCCGCATGCAGAGTTGTGGTCAATGGCTCAGTGTCCAGTTGGAGAACAGTAACAAGTGGTGTCCCTCAGGGATCAGTGTTGGGACTGGTCTTGTTCAAGATCTTTGTCACTGACATGGCCAGTGGGATTGAGTGTGCCCTCAGCAAGTTTGCAGATGACACCAAGCTGTGTGGTTCGGTTGATACATTGGAGGGAAGGAATGCCATCTGGATGGACCTTGACATGCTTGATGCCAACCTCATGAAGTTTAACCATGCCAAGTGCAAGGTCCTACACCTGGGTCAGAGCAATCCCAGGCACAGCTACAGGCTGGGCAGAGAAGAGATTCAGAGCAGCCCTGCGGAGAAGGACTTGGGGGTGCTGCTCGATGAGAAAATGAACATGAACTGGCTTCAGTGTGCACTTGCAGCCCAGAAAGCCAGCCATCTCCTGGGCCACATCAAAAGGAATGTGACCAGCAGGTTGAAGGAGGGGATCCTGACCTTCTACTCTGCTCTCGGGAAACCTCACCTGGAGTATTGTGTGCAGTTCTGGTGTCCTCAACATAAAAAGGACATGGAACTGTTGGAACAAGTCCAGAGGAGGGCCACGAGAATGATCAGGGGACTGGAGCACCTCCCGTATGAAGATAGGCTGAGAAATTTGGGACTGTTGAGCCTGGAGAAGCGAAGGCTGTGTGGAGACCTCATATCAGCCTTCCGGTATCTGAAGGGGGGGGCTATAGGGATGCTGAGGAGGGAATCTTCATTAGGGACTGCAGTGACAGGACAAGGGGTAACAGACTAAAACTTAAACAGGGAAGCTTAGGTTGGATATAAGGAGGAAGGTCTTTACTGTAAAGGTGGTGAGGCACTGGAATGGGTTGCCCAGGGAAGTTGTGAATGCTCCATCCGTGGCGGTGCTCAAGGCCAGGTTTAACAGAGCCTTGGGTGGCATGGTATAGTGTGAGGTGTCCCTGCCTGTTGCAGGGGCGGTGGAACTAGATGATCTTAAGATCCTTTCCAACCTGAAGTATTCTATGATTCTTTGATTCTGTAATTGTATTGTTATATGTCCTTCAAATGAGAAAGCCCTTCACTTCTAGGCAGCAAAGTTCAGAGTCCTCTGCTGGTCAAAGCCTCAGCATGTCAGCTGTTTGTGGTGGAGGAGATGAAGTGGCCAGAACAGGCCACATATACCATCCCTCTCTGTGTATGCCATGGCTATCAGTCTTTGAAGCTGAGGAGCAGCTCTTTCTACAACAAAGGTCAGGGTGCTTGAAAGTGCATCTAGTCTCAGGAGCTAAGCAGCAGGGAATTAAAAAACCTTAGATTAGCCTTCCAGTGCCTAAAGAGGCCAAGAAGAAAGCTGGAGAGGCATATAGGTGTAGAATGGATTTAAACTGACAGAGAGTAGATTTTGGTTAGATATTAAAAAGAAGTTCTTCCCTGTGAGTGTGGTGAGGCACTGGCACAGGTTGCGCAGAGAAGCTGTGGCTGCCCCATCCCTGGCAGTGTTCAGGGTCAGGTTGGACGGGGCTTGGAGCAACCTGGCCTAATGAAAGGTTTCCCTGCCTCTGGCAGGGGTTGGAATTAGATGAGCTTTTTTTAAGGTCCTTTCCAACTCACGCCATTCTGGGATTCTATGATTCTATGAAATGGAAAGCTGTGCATTTCAGCAGCAGCCACTCTCTTATGGGGCATGGTGGCAAGACTGCTTATTTAAAAGAATCTTTTTCTGTCTTTTTACATTGTCTGGATTTTATGAGCTTGCTAGTGAAGTAGCTGGAGGCAAAGGAGAGAAGGAAGTTCTATTCTACAAGCTCCTCAGTGAAGCAGCATAGGATGTGCATTAAATAAATATTAAATGGTGATAATTACTAAGCTCTGACTGAGCATATAAAACATAAAATGCCAATATACACAAAAGTACTTCCCTGTGCTGTCTCTGCCTAATTTATTCACTTAATAAATCCTTTAGAAAGGACTTGAAAGCTCTCCTGAATTGCAAATGTATGTGAAATTTCAGAGGGAGGGAGGGATGAAGATGGGGAAATTTCACTACAGGTAAATAATCTGAAACTGGACATAGACAGGCAAACTAGCCAGTTATTTGAGTTGAAACTCTTACATGATAAAATGATGGAAGCTGTAAAATAGGAAAACAGAGGAGCAGGTCTGCCTTTCCACTATTTCAAGCTGAAAACTAAAATATCCAACATAGCTACTTGGTTTAGAGACTAAAAATGCAGATATGAGCATGTTATGTAATATCTTTTGTCACTAACCCATATGGTCTTTTATCTCTGTCTTAACATTATCCTCTTGTGATCACACCAAGGAATAGGTTCAGTACGAGAATCTACTGCACTTGCTCTTATATTCTTTGTTTTTTTACCCCAGTGTTTTTCCCATGACTCCCTACTGCAAGGCTTGGTCTTGAGCAAAGGCAAGGTTTAGCAGTGGTACAGATGGGCTGTCCGCCAGTCCTTTTTCTCCAGACTGTTCCTCAGGGATGAAGCTAGTCTGGAGCCAAGCTGGGAAGTTGAGTCTTTGGGTCAGGATCAAAGCTAAAGCACTGGTAAGACTGTGGCACTACTGCAATGCAGTGTGTTCTGCTAAGTTGTGAGGAAGCTGGAGGTTTGTCTTTAAAAATACAATCCAAAGCTTTTCAGGATTCCTTAAATTGCTTTCTTGGTCCTGGAGCTTCTTATGATAGTGCAGGATGCAAACTGAGAGAATAAGCATGAAGGATATAATATCTCTGAACAAGGTAGAGAACCCTTCTAAGGTGAGGTCACTATTGGATAGCACACCTCCTTAGAGGGAATGAAGTTCCGATCGTTGGATTCTCTAGATGGACTCTGAGAGACTGCCTCAGTGATGCCACACCTGCCTGTTGAATTTCAGTCAAAGTGGGCGAAAGCAAGAGTGAATTTGAATCAATATAGCACTCACTTTAAAACAATAATAAACATTAGAATTCACTTAATTACTGGGAAATTAATTGAAAGATCATCGTCTAACCCCAAAAGTATTATTTTGACAAAAAACTTTCTGTGAAGGCTTTTGTTCCAGTAACTTGGCAGAAGCATGCTGCAGTGATTGTGATTGTCAGCATCCCTCCTCTTCCTCCCAGACTGCTTCCCTCTGCTGGTGCTATGAGAACAGAGTGTGTGTTTTGGAGTGGCAGCAGCAAGAGGATGCATCTTGTTTTGGAAACATCTCCTTTACTGTGCTTTGCAGATGACACCAAACAGTGAGGAGCAGTGGGGGCAGAGGGATGGGGGCAGAGGTAGCTCAGCCATGGCAGGGGTGAAGTGCTGTCCTGCGAGAAACGATCCCCTAGTGTCACTAGCATCCCCTGGGCAGGCAGCACAGCTTCACTTCCCCTACCTGGCACAGTGAAAGGGGACGTGGCCAACACTTGCATCAGGAGGATGTTAGTTGTGAGATGTTAGATCCTTAGATGGAGGGGATTTTGTTTTTAAAAATGGCTGGTTGGTTTGGTTATGCTGGGACTCCTCAAGTGGCCAGGAGCAGCAGCACAGCATGCAGGAGTGCAGAGACCAACTCCGTAGGTGACGGATGACAAACCATCCAAAAGAGTTGTCCTTGAAAGTGTTCGTTGCTGCTTTCTTTTGGAAGTGAGCTCCCGTATGGAACTTGTCTTTACACTGCTATTTGTCATCAGAAAGCATTTTATATGATAATTATTAGGTTAAAACAGCAGCAGCTCCATATACACCTAGGATAAAATGCTTTAGAGGAAACCTGTGGGCACAAACACAAATGACCGGAGGACATTTATTTTTAAAATGGAGTGTGCAGAGTCAGTAGTTTTACTCACTGAAAAACAGAAAGTAGGATTTCAATGAAGGTTTGTTTTTTTCTGTGTGTGTTTTTTATTTGGTTGGTTGAAGGTGGGGTTTTTTTGGTGGGGTTTTCTTTTTTTTTTTTTTTTGTCTTTTTTTTAATAAAAACTATGACTAAGAATATTCTGATCTGTAGGGAAAACAAAGCTGCAAATGCTACCTTCACAAAACCTAATGTAGGAAGAAGCGTGCACTACATTCTGGACATGATTCTAAGTTACAGCAGCAATGTTCCTTTCCACTAAAGGGAGTTCTGAAAGGCTGAGAAGGTTCACTGCTTAACAATAGTTTTTAAAGACTTTAAAAATTAAGATAAATTTAAGAGGCCTTGATGAACTGTTGGTGATGAATTAAGCTATTCAATGAAGCATGAGTACCATGAGCATGAGCCACTGCACTGAGCAGAAGACTTTAATGCTGTTCTGAGAATTTCAAAACTGGTCTGAAGAATGTAATGTTTAAAGCTATATACTCTGGGCTTTTTTTTTTGTTTTGTTTTGTTCTGTTTATTCATTATGACATTAACGAGCTTGTAAAGTATAACTTGCATGGGTTTGTTCTAAATTGTACTGAGAGCTCCTTGGCTCTGCAAGTATCTTCTACTTTCCTATTTTAGATTTTACAATTTTTGCTTCCTGAGATAGACATAGTTAAGGAATTACATCCACCTTCTGTCCATGAAGACTATCAGAATTTGGGAATTCATTGATTTAGAGTTTTGAATTAAAAGGGTATGTCTGGCAATTTGTAAAAACTTATGTATTGTTTCCATTCCTTTTAAATTCCTTTTCTGTTACTTTGCACATGAACCCAGAAAGGCATTAATCTGTCACCCGGACAGTGATCTCCTAAGTAAAGCTTGGTTCTTGTTCTCCAAATCTGGTGACAGTTTCACTTTTGAGGTTATAAAACTTTTCATTTCAGGAACTTTCAGCATACGGGAGGATAACTTGTGTACAGCTTCATGTCTCAGGAGATAGCTCAAGGTTGCTTGAGTATAATCACTCTCCTTCCCTGCATGAGTCAGGATACAAAGATTGGCATAACGTGTTTTTATGTGATTTACCCTGTATGGTGAAGAGCAACATTCTGTATATTATACACAGGCAAGAGGAGGAGTGCTGGCAGGGTATGCAGGGTACACCTGGTGAGGAGTTTAAAGGGTTTGAAGGGTTTCTCTGCTGTGCAGGTGTTTCCTGTGCCGTTTCCCACCCCTAAGCACTTAAGACACATTACAGATCCCCTCTGCCCAACAGCAATTGCGAGGGTCCATACCCAAAGCTGGAGATGGGGCAAGCTCAGGACGTGGACTGCACTGACCCCTCTCCCTAGGGTCTGCTTGGGAGGAGCTCCTGGTATTCCCTGGACTGGCCAGCCCCATGTATCATAGAATCCCAGAATGGTTTGGGTTGGAAGGGACTTTAAAGACCATCTAGTTTCAAGCCCCTGCCATGGGCAGGGACATCTTCCACTAGACCAGGTCGCTTCAAGCCCCATCCAGCCTGGCCTTAAACATTGCCAAAGACGAGGCAGCCACAGCTTCTCTGGGCAACTTTTGCCAGTGCCTCACCACACTCACTGGAAAGAACTTCTTCCTAATATCTGTGCTCCAGGAGCAGCAATCCTTCCCCTCCTCCCTTCTGTCACCCTCACTTTCCAGTTGGGATGCTCATATGTGCTACTCCAAGAGGCTTTAATCTGCATGGCTCACACATGAATTAAAACATAATAGAAATGTGTTAAAGACAGGAAGAAGAAATACTGGGGAAAATATGCTAGAAGTTTATTTAGTAGCTGGAGCAGCTCACAGCCAGACCCCTTGAAACTTCCAAATCCAAGTTCTTGCTTCCCTGCAGAGATGCTATGGCCAGCATGGCACTGCAGCTTAAACAGCTGTGCTGCAGAGAAGCTGCCTCCAGATTCATACTGAGTCAAGAGCTATATTTTTGGTTGCAAAGTGCAACTACTTGATTAAGAGAGCTGCAGTGCAAAACCCTGTCTTATTGCTGGTATGGAAAAGCACTGACCTTGTTTAAGCC